TGTTAAATTTGTTAGCAGATATTTAAAATAAAACACTAGAATAGTGTTTAATTGCTAGTTTTTAATTTGAAACAATATTTCTTGGGATACCAGGGATTTGCAAACATTGTTTGCTATTATTCTAATATAAGCAATATTCTGGCATCAAATTATTTTAAATGAATATGTGAGAAACAAAATTGAGTTCAGCATGAACTGAATGTAATGATATAAATACATCTGAATTATGGGTTTCCTATCATGCTGAAAACATAGCTTCTCTAGCTTGTAATTCTAAACTGGACTCATTAGCCCAAAAGTTCTGAAACACTCCACCATTTCCATACCCCTAATAAATAGATGTTGCATTCACATTTGTATAATTATACCTTAATATGCATAGTGCTTTTAAATTCTCAGAGTACTTTGACATCTGTTATCTCATTTTAGCACAAACAAGGTGTCCTACACACTATTAATGTGCATACAGCACATGGCATATCAGCTTTTAATTCTGAGTTATGTAGAAATGAGACAGTAAATGGAAAATATATCAGGAGGAGGAAAATATTTTTAGTATTTAGGACCTAATTGCAATCTTCCAAAGTTTTCTTGAATGATATTTAGAAGTCTAAGTAACCTTAAAATAATGAGAGGGATGGAATGAATACAGTTAGGGCCACATTCTCCAAACTCATGCAAAAGAAAAAAGAGTTTCTAAATCCCAAAAATTACAACCATTTATAAGAGGCTTCCATTTACAGAAATACATATGAGAAAATGAAATAGACTTGTATTTTCACAAAACAAAGACTTCTCAACAGTAAAAGAAATGCATATCTTTGCATAAACTTTAACTTAAATAATAGTGAGAATAGTGTGTAATATAAAGTCTTTATGTTTTGAATGCTCTTATCTAAATTTTTAAAAAAAGCATTATCTGGGGCACTAAAAACACTTTTTCTAAATTATTAGAAAATCTATTCAGGTGTAAGCTTAATATTTCTCAATATAAATAGTATTAATAAGTACAACTAGATCAATTTCTTCCCTATTGAAAGCATTTTGTATATTACATTTTAGTTCTTCCAATGTTCGTTGTTTTGATATTACTAAAGAAAGGGTGGCAGAAGCTGAGCCATACAGAAGCACTGCTCTAGCTAGGTCGTGCCTGGGATTGCACATGCAGTATCTTATTTAATCCTCACGAGAGCCTGTGTTCACATGAGGAAGCCAAGCAAGGTGAGTGCTTGGCCTCACAGCTGGTAAATGGCAGAGCTGGGACTCAAGCCCTGGCCTGCCTAACCCTGTCCTTGTTCCTTTATAGTCCCTGATGCCCTGTGCCTTCCTCTGTATTAAAATGGTATAAAATATTTAAAAACAGTTCAACAAATACTAATTTCCCATGTGCTGTAATAGATTCCATTTATGTGGGCACTGCAAGCAGAAGATAAAATCACTAGAAGTTTAGTGGAAACTGATTGAATCAGCTCATGGTTAACACCGTGAAATCCTTAAATGCAAAACTACGTTGGTTATTTGTTGATCCTTCAGCAGAGACTCTGCACAGTGTGGCAGAACTCTGCCCATCTCCCATGTATGTGAAAAACTTCATAGTTAGGTGGTGGGTTAACTCTGCATACCGACAAGTTCTTGCTGGTGGTGTTTCTCCCAATAGTGGATGCTGTTTCCTTAGTGGCTTCTTCAGTTGGAATTCTGATTTGGTTTCTTTCTGGCTGTGTGACCTGGACCAAGTTATGTGGTGACTCTGAACTTGAGTTTTGTTTTGTTTTGTTTTTTGTCTTTAAAATGTGGATAATGTCTGCTGCTCAGGCCTACATGTATCAAATAATTTATATGAAAGCATATTCTAAACTGTAAAGCATTGTATAGACAAATATGACTCAGTTCAGACACATCACCTGTCAGTCCCTAATTCAAAGATCCCTGCTCATTGTAGGCCAATTGATGACAGAGAGTTGAAGGCAAGTGCTCAGGTGGTTGTAGCATTCTAGAAAGACCATCTTTTGTTCTAGTGTTACCCATACTTAGCATGTATATTGAGAATGGAATTTGAATTTTTCTTTTTTATTATTTTAATTGTGTAAACACATCATCTGCCAAGGAGCATATATCGATACAGAGGGATCTGTGTAGAATGATCTGAAAGCCAGGGAAAGCAGAGGATGGATGCCGTCTTTCTCTGCCAATTCACGCTACAAAAGTTGTAACAAAAAATATCATATGGTAATAACAGGTTATTATTGTAACATTGTTAGATAAAGTATCAAGTGAGAGGGCTTTTTTCTTTAAATGAAAGTTGGAACTTTATTGAAATGTATTGTGCACAGAACTGTTAGCTAAAAAAGCATGGATATCCCAGAAAGCCATGAGGCAAACACTTTGCCATGTCTGGGAAAGAAGTAGGACAGTAATTTCTCCTTTTATATATTTTCCTGAGAGAGTAGGCCTGTTGTTCCTAGAAATTCTACCCACTGCTCTGACATTATTGGAATCAGTTTTCAGAAAATAGCACAACTACGTTGAAACGAACAGCATTTTAGAAAGTGGCTTTGTTGGCCAGGTGCAGTGGCTCATGCCTATAATCCTAGCACTTTGGGAGGCCAAGGTGGGCAATTTTGGGAGGCTAAAGTGGGCAGATCACTTGAGGCCAGGAGTTCAAGACCAACCTGGCCAACATGGCAAAATCTCGTCCCAGCTAAAGATGCAAAAGTTAGCCAGGCATGATGGAGGATGCCTGTAGTCCCAGCTGAGACAGGAGAGCTGAGACAGGAGAATTGCTTGAACCCTGGAGGCAGAGGTTTCAGTGAGCTGAGATGGTGCCACTGAACTCCAGTCTGGGCGACAGAGGGAGACTCTGTCTCAAAGAAAAAAAAAGAAGTTTTTTTCCCCAAACTAAACAAGTTTTTCTATTACTGTGTCACATCAGATTTTTTTTAATGTCTATAAGTTAATGCTTAGTTTTTAATCTAGATTTTCATCACAGAACCACTATTCAGAAAGGGTTAGCTTGTCCATGATTTCAACATTCCCTTCCGTGATGGTCCAAAGAGCAACTCTTAATACTTAAGCACAGACAGATCATACATAACCAAAAAAAGAAGGTCAGGAATGCACTCAGTAAGCTCTTCCATCAGGAGCTTCCAGTTTGACAGCTTGTCAAGTTGACAAGCTGACACCCTAGCCTCAGAGATCATCTGGAATGTTGATGATATCTATGCCCTATTTCAAGCCAAGAACTCTAGACCACTAGCCAGCAAAAGTAGAAAACAGTGCTTCCATACTTGGAATTTAAACCTGATGTATTATATACCTTTTTTAATTAATGTGGGCAGTTAATTTTCTTTTAGCAAATACACCCTGCTCTATCTGAGACAACTTTGGAGCTAGAAATTCCAGTATGATTAGTGTCTTTTGGGCAACACTAATGTTAATATGATTAGTGTCTTGTGTATACTTCAGTCATAAAAAATAGTAATTCAGTCATTTAAAAAAATAAGTGGCAGAATGACTCAGATGGATTCTTTTTTAGGCTTTGATACTCATCTTACAGGTCTGGATTATTTTCTTCCCTGTCAAGTTCATGAAGAAGGCAAATTAGGCTGTGCATGGTGGCTCACACCTGTAATCCCAGCACTTTGGGAGGCTGAGGTGGGCGGATCATGATGTCAGGAGTTCAAGACCAGCCTGGCCAACATGGTGAAACCCCATCTCTACTAAAAATACAAAAAAAAAAAAAAAAAATTAGTTGGGTGTGGTGGTGCGCACCTGTAGTCCCAGCTACTGGGGAGGCTGAGGCAGAAGAATTGCTCGAACCCGGGAGGCGGAGGTTGTAGTAAGCTGAGGTCTAACACCACTGCACTCCAGCCTGGGTGGCAGAATAGGACTCTTGTCTCAAAAAAAAAAAAAAAAGAAGAAGAAGGCACATTAGCCAGAGTTGATTCTGATAGACTGCAGTAAGCTCTAAACACCTCCAGTCATTTTGCTAGAGAAGCTCTAATGTCTCCACCTTCCCTCCATGCGCTGATGCTTAACCAAGGGTACTGTTTCCAATTAAAACCAGACCATGTATTTAAAGAAAAAGAAAATATCAATAGAAAATACTCTGTTTTCCAAAAAAAACTGAATAAAATATCTGACAATATATAAAAACCCCATTTCAGCGGAATTGACCTTGTGATATTTAGTAGTGCCTTAGGCTTGTTGACATTGAACAGCTTGTTCACAAAGAGGCCCAGCAGGTTATTTTTCCACTTGTTAAATTTTCAGAATGTTTCTTATTACATGCAGACCAGTTCTTGGCTCCACAGGTCAGTTTTGGCCATTATAATCTGCCCTTGCTAAATTTTCAAGGGTAGCAGAATTCTCTGATTCTTATTCTCCTTCTTCCCTTTCTTTTTCCAGTGGTAAATAATAAAAAGAAGGTTTTTAAACACCTAGTGGAAATAGGGCTGTTCGTGCAGCCCTGTCTCAGTTAATTCTGTTTGTATAGGCCTAAAGTAATTTATCAGCAAGAACTCTTCTGGGTGCATGTAAATAACAAGAAATCCAACTCAAGATGGCTTAAGCACAAAAGGGCAGGAGTCCTGGATTCAGGTGCTGTTTTGCTGCATTGTTCTCTGGCTCTCCATCTCTTGGCTCTGCTGTCCTCTGTGTTGGCTCTTTACCCAAATAGCCTTCCTCTACATGTGGAGAGTTTCAAGCCAAATTGCTATTGAACTCGAAGTTACAAGAAAGAGAAACTATCTTTCCTGGAGTGTCAAAATAAAGGTCCCAGGCCTGGCATGGTGGCTCATGCCTGTAATCTCAGCAATTTGGGAGGCTGAGGCCAGTGGATCACTTAAGGCCAGGAGCTCCAAGACCAGCCTGGGCAACATAGCAAAAGCCCGTCTCTACTGAAAATACAAAGGCTAGCCGGGTATGGTGGCAGCGCCTGTAATCCCACCTACTTAGGAGGCTGAGGCATGAGAATTGCTTGAACCCAGGAGACAGAGGTTGTAGTGAGCAGAGATTACACCACTGCACTCCAGCCTGGGAGAAAGAGCAAGAGTCGGTCTCAAAAAAGAAAAAGTCCCAGTATTATGTTCCATCAGTTCAAGTCAGCCTAGTTTGGATCAAGTGTCCTCCCCTGAGCTACTCACTCTGTGTGTGTGTGTGTGTGTGTGTGTGTGTGTGTGTGTGTGTGTGTGT